TTCGGAATGAATTCACATCTTTTCCCTTAAAACCAGCTAATCTTCATTAAGGAACCTTAAAAAAAATGAGATTCGTCAGAGAGCGTCTTGAAGTCGTTACCTGTTACATTCCTTTCAGTGGTGAGGCGGTTGGTGATAACACTTCTCAAACTTTCCAGAAGACTCCTGGTAAGAACCATTATCCATCCAATGCTTGCTTTAACGTTTTTTGGTATCAACAACCAACATGGACACCACCTATCTGCAAGTATCTAATAGAATATTATGATACTCTCAAATCATTACCAAGTGCTTCGGAAGGTACTAGTGCTGTTGTTAGATTAAGTTCCACAAGAAAAACTGGTAACAACGCTTTTATTAGAAGTTCAGGCTCTGGATTTTACATTCTTCCCAACACAATTATTACAAATAGTCATGTTGAAGCTGAACTTGAGAGAATTGGTGGTAAAATAACTGCATCCAGCAATGCATGGAGCAATAACAATTCAGCAATTTTGCCTACCAGGATCAGAACCTTGCATTCTGGGAAAACTATCAAAGATTCCCAATTAGAGTCATTCCAAGCTACAAGCCACCGGTATCTTGATGGGTTAAAAAATAAAATATTCTATTTATTATATAATAATTATATACGTTATTAGTTTTGACTGAATCGTTCTAGAAAAAAAGTTATGTTCAAAAAACTATGGGTTGGGTTTGGTTAGGATTCAGAGTTGATTTATTTGGGTTATTTAAGAGATTACTTAGTGAAGATTCATATCATTGATTATATTTCTTATCATCTATTAATGATGTAAATTTGATGGTTTCATTTCTTATATTGATAGATATATAAAGGTCAGGTCAGTACTAACTTTTGTATTATGGACTTTGAGAAGTCAAATGTTTGGGACGTGAATCTACTCATTAGATCGTGTTGGTATTGCTAATAAAGGAACATTTCATTGATTTATTGATTATAACGGTCAAATTGAGTTGAATGGAAGTGAATCACATGTTGATTGATCGTGGATGGGTAGTTTCGCCACGAAGAGGTGCAACTACCAACCTTTGTAGATTGAATCAGGTTGATTTGCATGCAATATGAATAAGTAACATTATCAAGAGTGATTATTCACCAATTCAATAATCAATATTCAATAATCGGTTTGATTTCAATCAATAGCTTGCTCATCAAGCTTTGAATCAAGATTCCAGTAATTAACGGCAGTCTATTTTTAAATTTAATCAAAGACCATATATAGCATCTTGACTTTTGTGATCTGGAAACTATCTAGATGTGTTCTATATTGAATAATCTATTTGAAAATGAGAAGAATTGACTCTTTTATTGAGTTTTATTGGTATTGAATGGTATTACGATTATAATAATCTTCACAAAAATCACTCTTGAAATATAAACTGTACTACAATGTATGAGAAACATAATGGTGGTGGAATTAATCAATAAATCGTTGAAATGACTGAGAGGGAATGTAAACTATGGTCTATTTGTCATGTAATGGTGACTAGACAGTGTCAATTTCATCAAATTATTTCAAACTGATTACATTCAATAAAAAACAGTACTATACATCAACCATGTCATATAGAATGAGTTTCAATATTTAATATTGTGAACTGACTCTGTTGGATACCATCTCTATAAATATAACTAGTTGAAAAGTGTCAACATTCAATTTCACATGCATGTTACTATGGAGAGTCATCATTATATCATCTAGATAGGTAATATTTCAAGTTTCAGTGGAATTGACTGTCTACACATTGAGATGTGTATACTAAGGTTGAAGAAGTGTCACCTTCACTGATTACTGACTTGAGTATAACAATTGAATATATTATTCTTGTATAAATAATTCATAATTCAATGATTTTGATATGATGGTAAAATTTAATTTTGGAATTAAGACACTTCCTATTGATTACCTTAGATGTTTCCTTAGTTGACTTGAAGATATTGAGCCATGAATATAAAACTTTCTCAGATTGTTCTCCTCATGAAGGGAAGTGTATTAATATTTAATACTTGTATGATATTTTGAAAAATGAATGAGATAGAGTATATTCTATATGTTGAATTATGACAATTTGACAGATTGTTATTATTATCATATTGAATTCAATTCTAACGGTATAAAATTGGTACCAGATGTATAATAGTGTGATTAAACGTATTGGGTAAAGTTACAGAATGATTGGATGTACTTTCACTGAGATGGAGTGTTCACTAGGATATATATAGTGTTGATATTGAACATTTACTGATTAATTTTATGAAAATAGTTTGAAATGTTTCTAAACTATTTTAGATGTATTTAATTGATATATAGATTATGTATTATCAATTCTAGACTTGTTATAAGTAAAATGAGTGATTTTTAGTATAATCTATGATATCATGTCAAATGTCTATAGTAAATTGATAGAGTTGACATCTCGACCTCTACTTAACCAATATATATGAAATTGATACCACATACTAATTAGAGTGTCTACATACCATTATATCAATTTCAGTGAAATTGGAGTTGTTTCTGGACCCTTCAGATTTCCATCCATTCTCCTGACAAATCGCCATGTACTATCTACTGGATGCATTTCTTGAAATGAAAACATATAATTTGATGAAAGTCCACTTTATTTGAGATGTAGAACACGATATTATCATTTATTATGAGATTGGTAACTTTTCCTATAGTGTCATCCTTGATTGTCTTAATTGACCAAAAGAGTAAAGGAGATAATTCAAAACATAAAATAATTGATATTTTCGAGATGTACTAATGATTTCCAATCGATTGATATGTATTTTGTAGATTGAGGATGTGGTTTTCTATATTCAAGATTTCCTGATCTTCCCAAGTCAACCTTGATAAATCACCCTTTACCTTAGTGAAAGATAGAATATTCACCAAAATGTCTGAAAACTGAACCATATGCAGTATTTGAGATGTTGAACATGATGGTAATGTTTCATAGAGTGGTCATTTTCCAGATTTTCATTCATGTCCATAGTTGACTAGTTGGTATGAAAGGGATGAAATCATGAATATGAAAGTTAAAATAAACGTGATATTCTATCTCTACTGATCGAATGGAGCATTTTCATATAGGTTTGTGGGTTGGTGGGGTTTGGGTGAGTTTTATACACTTTCATACAATAGAGTGATATTGAAATGTACCCTTTGATATTTCTGGATGGGTAGCATGATTTAGTGATGATTCCGACAATAAAAATCATATATTGTTCATATAATTATCAAGATATTGTATAATTTATTAAATATAAAGTGGGTAATATTGAATATTCTTTGTAGGAGCGGAAGCACTTATTCTTGTCAGTTGGAGTCAGTATTGTATTAAGGTTCATTTAAGGAATCTTAAAAAAATACAATAACAACTCACCTGCATCAACATCATCAAGTATATCATCTATATTGAATATAAAG